GAAAAGGAGGGTGGTCGGGAGCTGAAGTGGGTGGCCTCTTTCATCTTTGATGCCCTCTAAGCGTTCTATGGATTCATCTTTTCTGAGGAATGAAGCAATGGCTTCCATGACAAAGAGAAAGATAGGTGCCGCCAGCGGGTCTCCTTGTCTTACCGACCTGGTCATTCTGTAGGGGTTGGACAGGAATCCGTTGACTTGGACTAAACCCTGTGCGTCATTATACAGGACTCTCACCCATTTTCGGAAATTTGGACCTATTCCCATTTTTTCCATAGACGATTGCAGGAAAGACCAGTTAACTTGATCGTACGCTTTCTCGAAATCGAAGTACAATAAGGCTGCTGTGATCCTTTTTTGATTTAGAATCCTTGTGGTTTCGCATAGGGTCAACATTGTCGAGGATGTATCTACCGGGGATAAAGCCTGTTTGGTCTATGTGGAAGCAGGTATTTGTTATACGGTTTATCCTTGTGGCTAGTAGTTTGGCTAGGATTTTGTAGACTACGTTTAGGAGAGAGATGGGTCTATAGTTTCTGATATCCTCTTTGTTTCCTTTCCGGCACATGGGTTAGATGTGGGTGCCATTCAGCCACCAGCCAGAAGCTTACTCTTGAATATCCCAAACTCTGGTGATGGGCAGAACTACAACTTTCCGGCACATGGGTTTGAACTTAGAAGTTTCAACCTCACACCTTTCCAGGAAATAAAGGGGAAGCCCGGAGCAGGGGATGGGCAAGACATCTGACCTTCTTGTTGATGTGTTGAGCGGAACTTGAGCCTAAACATTTGTATATCAAACTTTTATATGGTGGACCTGGTGGCGGCATTGGCCTAACAATCTCTTGAGCTATAGTCATCAGTGTGCAATACTGTGCTTTCCTAACATGATCTGTTTTGAATATGTTCCCGAAGCTTGATGAATCCAACAAACTGTCACCATGGAACTTTGAACTTTGAACTTTGAAGGAATCTTAAAAGGGTCCAAGTGAAATGCACCAAACACTGCTAGAAATCATCACCACCTGATGACAGTTTCACACTGCATGCTTAGAGTCTAGAATGGTGCATGTGAAAGGACGAGTCCCGGAAATGTATGCTCCTTTAAACCACCACTACAACTGTTGGGAAAATGGGAAAACTGCCAGTTTGCCCATACTCCTAAAAAATTGGGGGCAGGGCCCGACGATGCCGTTGATAAATCTCATCGGCATCCCCCCTCCTGAAAGATCGGAGGACCACCCGAGGCCAACATGAGAAAAGGCAGTGGTGCTTTAATGAAAGCCTTGGGAACTCCCAAATCCTTCAAGTGTTGCCAGATTTCCTAGGGGAATGTCCTCTCACTGCACGGAAAGATAGGAGTAATCTGATCATGGGTGAGAGAAGGGTAGAAATAGCCACAGGGAAGCTGTCTTTTGCATTGTACTTTTGAGCTGATTCATGGTCCCAGCGTTGTGCTGTACCAGTTCACAGTCCTTGGGCTCCCGTAATGTTTCACAACATAGGCTGGGCACCAGGATTTTCAACGCTATGAGATTTCTGTTAAAATCACTGCTCCCTTTTCACGACCAGCTTCTGGGCCTGGGTTCACAGCTCTAGGCAGGATTTTGAGGCTGTAATATCTCCGTTAAATCACAGCTGCCCTTTCGCAACTAGCTCCTTGGTCTGGGCCATTTCTGCAGATGGAATGGAAGAACTGCGGCTGCTGGATTGACAATTCAATGAACACAACTGAAAAGTGGAGCCGCCTCATAACCAGGGTGGTGGCAAAAAGGGAGTGGTGATTTAGCACGTGGTGGTCCAAGTGGTGCAGATATTGTTAAAACTGATGTCGTTTCGCCTCCTGTCTGGGGGAGCATATCCACCACCCGGTAAGAGGCACCTCAACTTAACGACTGTGCACTATCTATTGTCTGGGGGGTTGAGCAATTCCGAAGATGCTTCGATTTACCATAACCAGGTTCATCTCCTAAAACAATAGTGAATTTGAACAAGCATCTTGGGTAGTTTGTGCTAAGTCTACAAAAGCTGGTGGTGGTCCAGGTGTCCAAGTGGTGGTCCAAGTGGTTGCATATTTGGTGCAAGTGGGTGCTCCAAGTGGTCAAATCCTTGGTCCAAGTGGTGGTCCAGGTGGTTGAAATTGAGTCTACAAATGTGAGTACGAAAGCTGATTAGCACTGCTTGTTATGTGCAATGGCAGGTCCTCAGAGAGACCCCTTCTCTGAGGAAGCTTTCAACGCAGGAGGTGGTTACACTCGCTAACCAATGCACCACTGAGACTTATCATCGTGGAGATCACATTGTTCGTAGTGGCTCGGTTCTCAATAAGGTATGGATCTACATTTTGTCTCAAAATTATCTGCTGAATCAAACATGCAAGCATGGTCTAGTATATGGAATGCAGGTTGTGGGGCTGATGTGGTAAGATAATGTTTTCTTTGTTTTTGCTCGAAGGGGTGGAAGGTTTGCAGGCGGGAGGAGGAGAAGAGGGGGGGGGGGGAAGAGGAAGGGAGTTGGATTGAAACTCGGTCTGATGTTTATGGCTTTCTTATTGGGACATGCTTTCTTACCTACTGTATTAGTGTCCTGACTCATGAATCTAATCCAGAGGTATGCTTGACCACGTATAATGCACGGTTATCGACTGGTAAAATGATGATAATATCCTTTCCTCGGTTACTCTCAGGTGGGGAGGGTCAGGGGACATTGTGGGGTTAGGTGGGAGAGATACTTGGCCTATGGCTATACCTCAGTTTTGTGGGGCCGTCATCCTGGCAAAAGCAGTCAAGGACAGGCACCGTGATCCCAAAAACCGATGACCAAGAGTACAGGATCAAGACCTCCAGGAAACTCCATACAGCATGATCAAGACAGCCGAGTTCTACCCCCTCTGCCTGCCCTTCCTGAACAAGGCATGGGAACACGAATCCTTGTGAACAGACCTGAGCACCGGTGTAGTGACCTTACTTTACAAGAAAGCCGACAGAAAGAACATAAAGAATTATAGACCTATCTCCCTCCTTAACGTTGCCTACAAAATCCTGGCCAAACTTCTAGCCATGAAAATCAACCGCATCACTGGTAACTGCTTTCATCTTGACCAAACATGCTTCATCCCAGGAAAACTCATGCTAGATAACATTATGACCCTCTGGGAGTCCACCAGGCTGACCCCACCCAGAAACGAATCACAGCTGCAATACTATTCTTCGACTTTGAGAAGGCCTACAACCAAGCGAACTGGGATCCTACGGACCTGTATGGAGAAAATGGGATTTGGCCCGGACTTCTGGAAATGGGTGAGAATACTCTATAATGACACTGAGGGCATAGTCCAGGTAAACGGCTTCCTCTCCAACCCATACAAAATGACGAGATCGGTAAGACAGGGAGACCCCCTGGCAGCTCCCATTTTCCTCTTCATAGCTGCCTTCCTCAGAAAGGACAAATCCATAGAAAGATTGGACAGTATTAAGGACGACAGGGGTTACACACTTCACCTCCCGTCTACCCTGTGTTTCGCTGACGACCTTACAGTTCTTATAAGGGCCTCAAATTCCTCATTCCAAGCCCTCACAAGAGCTATGCAAGCTTTCCAATTAGCATCTGAAATGAAAGTGAACTGGTCAAAGACTTTCGGATGGTGGCTAGCTGACCCCCCCCCCCCCCCCCCCCCTAGAACTATCCCCAGAAAGGCTACAATGGACAGATCCAACCTCACCGATCCATTTCCTCGGCATAAACCTCAGCGCAAAAGGATGCCACCCCACAGCAGCCGCCTCCTAATGTCATCACTGATCAACAAAATGCACAGTTGGCAAGGGGTCCACACCTCGCTCCTCGAAAGAACCCTAGCTCTAAAGAACTCAATTCTATCTATGATGTGGTAGTCCACTTCAATATGGTTCCCCTCCTTAGACTTCCAAAAACACATCCGCAATAGGGTAGCAGCCTATCTTTGGAAGGTCAACCCGGATAAACAACACGTCATTCACAAAGTCACATGGCAAAGCGTCACGCAGTCCAAAGACAGAGGTGGACTAGGAATTCTAGGCCCTGCTCACGAAATAGAGGCCCTCCAGACCAAATAGATAATCAGAGTCACCTTATAGAATGACGTACAATGGGTACCACTGGCCCTAAGTCACATTATGGATTTGGCGCCCTTCAAATCGCCCCCCAACATGTCAGGCCTCTTCTGGATCTATGACAATTCATGGCCCCTGCCAAGGGAGAAGAACAATAACAACCCCCCTCCTAATGCAGACGAGGGAGCAGAGAAAGGAAATACGAAATCATTATGGGCACAACTCATCCGCATATGGAGGAAGATATTCCCACAAAACAAGATTGGCCCTAAAGAAAGGTACAAAGTTCTCAGACAACCCCCTTTCAGCAACCCATGGATCAATGACGAAAATGGCCTCTGTTTCTCCCTCACCAATCAGACACCAAATGGGGGCATTGGGTAAGGAGAAGGCATCTGGCAAGTCCAACACCTCTGGAGTGAACCGGCAAACAATTGGAAGTCTGAAAAGGATGCACGGAACCCACCAAAAGGCTGTCACAACCTACACGCGAACATCACACATATCATAGAAAGCAACCCCTAGAAGGGTGTCAGCTATTAAAGACCAATAAAAAATGGATGTGGGGAGATGGCCAGCGAACAGGAACTAAACACAACCCGCAAAGGTCCTAAAAGTCACAAAATGCAACCTACAGAATAAAAACTGGATAATCTGTTCCATCTTTCCCCTAGATGAACCAGGCAACCCAGTTAGTTTCCTCAGTGACGAACAAAGGGCGGAAGGGGCTTTCAAATCATCCAACCTTAGAAGAATCCGGGTCATTGAAGGGGAACAGAAATAGAGCTGACAGACCTGATACTGAAATGCACCATCTAGAAATAGATCCAGCTGAATGGTCATGGGGCACAAGCAGCCCACACTCCACACTAGAGCGCCGCTACGCACTCACCGACTACTCCCCCAAACTAGGTTACAAGCTCCACTACAACCCCCCCTCAATACGAACGATCACACAAAGGTGATGGGAAAATGAGGAAATTTCTATTACAACAAACGACATCAACCCATCCTGGGCCTCGATCTTCTGTACAAGACCATCCAAACTAGCTAGCCTGCTATGGCTCATAATGTACCGAGCAGCACCGTTTACTTGAAGAATCACTCAATCATTGTTTCATAGACTGCCAAAAGATAAATAAACTCTGGCACGACATAGAACTAACTTGGAACAAATGCTCTAACAAAACCATCGTGATCAACCTAGGCACCCTTTTCTTAGAAGTCGAGCAATCCCCACCTCTCAAAGGCTTCAATCTTTTCTTCTTCTCACTCATCAAAAGAGTGACCCTCTGGGCCATCTGGAAAACGAGATGCGCCGCAACTTTTGAAGATTCTAACAATACCCCAGAGAGCCCCTCATAACCATGAAACAAATGGTGGAAACAGAAATCTATGCCCTATGGAACAAAACATGCACTAAACTCCAGACCCTACAGAATGCCCCAGACAAGAAACCAGAGGTTATCAATAAATTCATTTCCCTGAAGCTGGGCAACGAGAAACTAGGAACAATAGAGAGGGAAAGACTGCTACTGAAAGACTGGTTAATTATACCTGCATCAAATAACCATAAACCTATCACTCTCCCACAGTCTACTCAAACAAACTGCCTGGCCACTGCTACACACAACAGAACAGACACCGTTGCATGAACGCTTCTGACCACCGCCCCAAATCTCCCATCACCGCAGTATACCTACCTACTGTGCGACATCAAGCACCCCCTGACCTCAACCTCAACACTCCAACCACCTCACTTTTCCATCCTTCATGTCCCACCGCCACACCACAAAGCTGACGCACCGACAACAACAGTACGACCCCGAACCCTAACCTCTGTTATCCACCATACAGCTCCCCATCAAGATGAAAAATCCCATCCCCCAACCCCACCAAGCCACCCTCCTCACATAGCAATCATAAGACCCGGGTCTTAAACTTAGTATGGCAGATCATACCAAAAGGTTCTCTAGGCCCCCAACTGTATACAAGCCAGCTAGGGATGAGGTACTTGGAAAGGAGGGCAGTAGCCACAAGTTTAAGGGGATGGGAAATAGCAAAACCTCAGTAAAAGAGAAACCCAGTAGTTTCTACAACTTAAGAATTTTTGATAGTCAAGGAGTAGGGAAGAATAGACCAGAGGGTACCAGAAATAGAACCGGGCTAAGTCTTCAACTCCACAATCATACCGGCTACGGCATAGCGCATTAACAAAGACCACGGCAGGCAAGACACAGAGGTTTAGGGTTTAGCATGAGATTCCGCCAAAGGGCCATATCAGCAGTTCTGATGACTAAGGGAATTTCCGACAGCTAAAGAGCTGAGAGGAACAGGCTGAACGAGGCCAGGGTAAATAAGTCTCCTAGTCCCAAGGCAGTGGGGTAGCCAGACTAGCACTCCAGGATAGTAGAAAATTTAGAACAGGCTAACTTAGGCAGGGGCAAGGGATGGTACATCCTTCCTTCAGGAAGTAATCAATGCCGTCCTTTGGGCCTGCCCGGCATAAGGGGGAGGAGCGTGAGTGAGTACACAACGAATCCTTTCTGACTTGTCGGGGGAATGTTTTTTCTTTAACAGTGCAATTGTATTGATAAAAATTTTGGCTGGGGACCTCACAATTCAACCCGGAGTTATCCTGGCAGCATTAGCCAGTTTCGCTTATGGTGGAATCAGTAGAGCCAACGCTCCTCCCTAAATTGATCCAACCCGCTTTCTAGTGTCCCTTCCGTTTCCTATCCTTCCTATTTCCTAATTTTCTACTTAAATAAATGCTTTCCTAGAACCCTAACTACTTTCCCAACTTCTACTTCTTTTTACTAGTTCCTCATTTGATACTTAAACAATCTTTCCTACCACCTCTTTTACACCCTTCTATATGTCTAGTTCCTCTTCTCCTCTTATCCCTTCTTCCGTCCCCTCCTCTCTTGCGGTTCTAACTGCTTTTTGGAGCTCGCCATTTGAATGAGAGCCTTGTACCCTGTATAGCTGCCACCTTCCCCCCCCCCGCCAACACTCTTTGATTAAACCGTGTCCTCAATTCTTGTGCCTGCTCTGGGCGCTGTCGGATTTGTCTTTGTACCCTTTTCCATTGCGCCTGGACATCGGATTCGAGGAGTGTATACACTGTATAGTATATCTCCCTTGCCTCCTGCCTGTGCATTGGTCTCTTTTCTATGGTGAGCTGGCAGCGTCTCTTCCATATCGTCCATAGCATGTACTGCCTCAGGAGCTGAAAGATGTTTTTTTCAAACGGTTGCCACGTCTTTGGAAGATCGGTTCCCAGCAGCAGGGTGGCATTGCTCTCTGGAAAGGCCACCGCTGTCATCCTCGCCCAGAGTGTCTTGGCCATTCCCCATAGGCTCTCTGCCTCGGGGCATGTCACCAAGCACTGGCAAGCAGTGTAGCATAGTCTCCAGGGTGTCTTCCTGACATACCACGCATATGGCATTCGAGGGATCCCTCAGTGCTCTGCTCCTGCGCTCGTTCAACCATGCGCTTACCGGTAGTGCCATGTGGGCTGTTAGCCACTGCAAGCTTCTAAGTTCTAACCCATTCCAGCCGTATACTGTTGATTGATGTCCATGGGATAGTACCCAACTGCCCCGGTGGAACTCCCATCCTGTTTTCACAGCGTTTACACAGTGCAGCCTTCAGGAGGTGAGAGCGCCTTCTCATATGATAGCCTAGTCGGGTGGTGTAGTAGAGGATGTTAATTCTTCTGGCTATCCCCAGTCTTCCCCCTCTTAGATTCCAGGCCCATTCTGCGGGGTCGACTTCCAGTTCCTCCAGTAGGGTGGAGGGACTGAAGATTGCAAAGCTCTCCGTTTCCACCACTCTTACCTTACGTAGCTGCTGTAGTTGGATGGTGATCGTTGTCTTGGTGGCCTGGTCAAGGAGACTGGTGGTACTTCCTGGGCTGGCAGTGGCATACATATCTGCGTTTATCCATTCCTTTCTTGCTGGTTCCTGATTCCAGATTCGGAAGGCCTCTTGTGGTTCGTCGACCTGTCTCCATGTGGCCCAGTCGCCCAGGTCCCATTGAGAGTCCTCCCACAACAATCAGGTCCAGTCCTCCGGAATAGATATGAGTATGCCGTTCGGGTTTTCCAGGAGTGTATGGCTCCCCTTCAGTTCTGCTCTGAGTTCCCTGGCTGTCTTCCATTGGCGCTTGTCTTCCGCCCAAAGATGTTTGATCTGCCGGACTCCGTGTTCCACCCACGTTCCCCTCTTTGTGTCCTTTGCCGCTACGGTGAGGGGTTTGCTGTTTATGTCTTTGATTGCCTGGTTGCAAAATCAAGGCCTGGGGCAGCACTTCCACAACTTGAGCAGCTGGGCCCAATAGGAGCCTTTTGTTGCTCCCTCTGCGTCTTGCGCTGATTCCCTTCTACCTCTGCCTGTTTTTGCCCAGTTACTGCACAGTACACAGAACAGGCCCGACATGTTCGATGGCGTGTTGTATTTGGCCAGTTGCCTGATGCTATCCAGGACTAATGGTACCCATGGCAGCTTCTGATGGGTAATCATCTTAACCACCCACTTTGTTTGAAGTGCTTTGAGTTGCTGCTCCGGGTCCAGGATGCCTAATCCTCCCTGTTCTTTTGCCCGTGTGACGTGCTTTCACGCCACTTTAGAGATGGAGTGAGATTGTTTGGGTCCGAAGTCCACAGGTAAGCTGCTGCCCGTCTTCGTAGTGTGGTAGCTGTTTGGGCTGGGGGGGGCCAGATCGTACCCGTGTACCATAGCATTGAAAAGATGGATACGTTCAAGATAAGCGCGCTTCTGAATACCGAGGTGTAAATCGCTGACCATGCTCCCAGTTTCATCAGGATCTTTGACTTCATCTCAGCCGCCATTGTATGGTGCGGGCCTGTTTCTGTTATCTTGGCCCCCAATACCTTAGAGGTGCCCGTGCTATCACCCATTGCAACCCTTCCAGGTTGATGGTAGGGTCTACTCCCCCTCCTTCTTGGTCTGTTAGCCACCAGCTAACTGTCTTTGGCCAGTTTGTTCTCATTTTGGATGCTAACTGAAAGGCCTCCATTGTCCGTGTCAGCACCTGAAAGGAGGAATCTGATGCTCTGATTAACACCGTGAGGTCGTTGGCAAACAGCAGCGTTGGAGGAAGGTGCACGGGGCGCCCTTGCAGATCCGGTTCTGTGATGAGGCGCTTGATTGAGGGATCCTTGCTGAGGAATGAAGCCACTGCCTCCATTATGAATAGAAAGATGGGTGCCGCCAGTGGGTTCCCCTGCCTCACCGACTGAGACATCATGTACTTTGCTGATAGGTGCCCATTAACTTGCACCTGACCGTGTGCATTGTTATATAGTACCCTGATCCATTTCCGAAAGTTGGGTCCCAACCCATCTTTTCCATACACTGCTCCAGGAAGCTCCAATTCACTTGATCATATGCTTTTTCAAAGACAAACTGCTGCATTAATTCTCTTGTCCCTGATATAGCGCACTGACTCCGTTAATGTCATGACGTTGTCCAGAATGAACCGTCCTGGTATGAAACCAGTCTGATCCAAGTGGAAGAATCCCTTGGTGAAGACAAGAAAGGCTGACTGGACTGGGGTTGAGTGGGTGTTGGGAAGCCATACTGAAAAGTGGTATTGTCGACGCTTCATGCTCTAGCATTTGTAAATAGACAGGAAGTGGGAAAGGGAGACAAGGAAGAGGAGGGGGAGAGGAGAGGGAGTGAAGAATGGAGAAGTGGAAGGGGAAGAGATGATGTAGAAGAAGGTGTGTGTGTGGGAGAGAGAGAGAGAGAGAGAGAGAGAGAGAGAGAGAGAGAGAGAGAGAGAGAGAGAGAGAGAGAGAGAGAGAGAGAG